AATCCTCAAATGCCAGAGGTGTTAGGGTACGGTACATCACCCTACCCAACCTACACAGCACAGCGATCATCGCCAAGGTACACAGCTGCGCTGAATGAAAGAGGAAGCTCGGCGAGGAGAAGCAGAAGAGGACAGAGTACTCTCTTTTTAAGGTGAATGAAGCACAGCGGATGGTTGAGAGAGGCAGGGAGTGGGCAAGGTGCCCAGCACACCTCACCGGCAAGCTCTGACACCTTTAAGCTGCTTCTGGGGATCCTTTAAGTATAAAACATACTTATGAAATAAAAAACTGCTACAAGACAAAATACAGAAACACATGAGAATGGAAAGGCTGATGGAGCAAGAGGGGGATTTAGTCCCTTAAAGAGTGTTTTTTACTCCCTAGAAGGCTTATTCGGCGTGTATTTTGCCAATGGGCACATGTACACACGGTAGCAGACATGTCACAAGGACAGACTGAAAATCAGATCTTAGATACATTTCTATTTTGTTGTGAACAATCTAGACAAAAGAAGCATTTTAAACAGACAAGATCAACTCATTTTAAATATCAACTAGTTGCTTAATTACTAACATTTATTTTGAACATATAGAGTGTTGGAATTTCTCCTATGTAGTACAGAAAAAAAATCTTTGATTTGACTGTGAGGGTAACACACCAAACTTTAGAATGTGCCAGGTGACTGCTCACTTCTCTGAACAGAAAAAACAAAAAAGTGTTCAGAACTTACAAAGAAGATACTTATGACAAATGATTTTTAGTATTTGGGGAGAATTTTTGTGGTTATTTCTGTAACTCTATGGTTTTTTGAAAGTAAAATCATGCATAAGATTTCAGGATCATATTCTAGGCCCTTTCATATACTTTTAAATACTTGAAACTTTTAAAAGTTTTTCTTTTTGCAAGAATTTTCCTTGCCTATAATTAGCAAAAGAGGCTTATTTCTGAAAAATATGAGAAGAATCTATTAATTACTTTGCATAGATTAATAAAAAGACAAAACTTGCTGAATGAATGAGACATCTTGGCCACATACAACTCAAAAAATCCTGATACACATAGAATTCAACGTCTTTGTCCGATTAGTCAAGAGGTACCTTAAATCTAATTTTTCTATTATTTTATAGGTTATAGTCTCTAGGGAAGTAGAAAAAAATTTAAAATAATGGCAAGCAATGAAAAATCAGGTATAACGTATACAGTATTTCCACCCTAACTGAAGCAATTACTCTGATTACCAGAGAGTGGAAAAACAAGGTCATGAACTATTATAAAGGATAGTTAAGTAAACTGTGGGGGTTGCTATTACATATATTTGTTATAATTGTGATGTCACCTTTTCTGAGTCTGCATCATGAACCGTACTCTGTTGTGGTAGGAAGTATATGCATGTGAAACACAGTAACTGCCTACTTCAACTACTATAAACCTGAATTTCATATGTTTTCATCCTCTCTGGAAATACACAATTAAGTACATAACAATTTAAAAACACGAATCTTAATTTCCTATTTAAGAATAAACATAAAGAAAGAATTAAACTATGAGAAATCATAACTATAGTACACAAGCTGCAAGTTTAAACACTCAAAAGCTGAAGAAAACATAAAAGTCCAAACAATTCCTAGTTCACTTTCAAGTCCTTATATTACACCCATGAAATTAATCTCTCAAAACTGACTTTCCTCAAAAACAAACTGGATTTTGCTCAAGATTATTAATATGTAACTTTCACTGATTTCTGATTTTCTGGATACAACTCAGTCACGTACATATGGAAGTGAGAAAGGATGAAACTTTATTTTTTTATGTTCTGGCTTTTGAGGGCAGAAAATTTTATCTGTAGGGTTACAAGAGTGCTGTTTTCAAGCATCACAACAGTGTTCTTGGCTTTATTTACATGAATAGAAAGCCTTCCATCAAAGGCCAGAATTTATTTCTTTTAAAGGTGAATGATGGAATGTCTGTAAGTAAGAAGATTGATCTATGCCTATTTTAATCTGCCTAATGTACACCACAATTAGAATGAGTACTTTCGACCATCTCTACTATTTTTACAGGTCTTTAGTATTCACAGGGAGAAATGTCTGTGGAAGTAATTGCCTCTGAATTCAAAAGCATTACTTCCTCTCACCTGTATTTCCCAGGAAAAACACTGGCAGCTTGCCCAGGCCCCTAACCATTTTGATGGACCAAGCCTACACCTCCCTCACAGTACACGGATGGGGATGCTCAAGAGCTGATTGATTAGTTCCATCAAGGAGAATCAGGCTATGACAGAGTCAACATTCCCTGTCATCTTCCAGACCCAGTACATTCCACGTACCTGATGGCATGAGAGATCAGGCACTCCCCTAACTCTAACCACAAGGTGAGAGGGGCAGAGAAAAAATGAATTACAGAGCTGAGCTGGCATTTCCAGGACCCAGCATCTTATTTCAGTTCTACAGCAGCAGCTCCCTTACACTCCACATAAAGAGAGAAACCAAGCCACCCCCTTAAACCCCTGACCATGGCTCTAGCAGGCAACACTCTTCTTTTGGGGCAGGAATACCTCACCTCCCAACAGTGGGGACAAGGGGGACACTGAAATGGGTCTCCTCTTCTCTGTTTTAAGTCTATCACATGATACCAACACTTCAACAACCTCCTAGGGAATAAACCTCCTCCTGCAGCTGGCTTGTCAGCCCTGCAGCTGAAGCTGTTGAAGACAAAGCAAAATGCTTTGAGTGCAGATTTAGTTTATGACAATATGGTACACAAAATAACCTGTCATCTGAATAAAATTTAAATGACAACACACCAAAGATGGCATTAAACCAAAACAGAACACCATTTATACTGCTAACAAGAAAATTAAGCTTAGTAAGCACTGTTTAATGGCTGTTCATGGAACTAATTTAGTTATGACCTTTAATGACACAATCCTATGTTTTTACACTGAGCTTCTAACTCATTCACAAGTTAAACATGAAAGGAGGTGAAATAAATTCTCAGAGCAAGTGTAAAGTTTCCATCCCTGAACTTCTGAGCAGTTGATTCTGTAACCTAAATAATATTATTGCAATGCATTTTTACATGATTGCAATCTATTTTTACATGAATGTATTCCATGTTTCACCAGGTAAAAAAAAATATGCCTAAAGTGAAGCCAGACAAGCATGAAAGCTCCCCTACCAAGGTCAAAGGGACTGGATATGAATATCCAAGAAGAGAATTTAACTCTCTAACAGTGTCTTATCTCTCCTGTAGTTTACTTCAATATTTATTTTCTGTACGGCTAGCAGTGTGATTATATTACCACTACACAACCCTCGGCATCCATAGTACTGCCACTTGGTGATCCTGTTACACTCCTACATAGGGAACCTGGATAAGAAGCAGCCCATTCACTCTCCTCTTCACATTTGAAAGTGAGAAACCTGGTGGACAAACCCCCTTTGTGCCTAATGGTGCTGACCACATGGTTCCCACTCACCCGTCCACAAGCATTAACAGAAAAACATTTCTTCACTGTGGGGAGAGAAGCATCATTGGTGGGGAAGGAAGTTTAGGAAAGTTACCAATGAAGAGAGCCAGCCCTAGAGCAAATGAATGTCCACTGTATACTGGTATCATCCATCTAAACAGACACACTTGCATCACCAATGCATAATTCATTTGGAAGGCTCTTTCTTCCCTCTTCTGTGACTTATTAATGACTCATTAGTAAGCTTTGAGACCAAGAGCAAACAGGTGTGGAAGACATGACATTCAAGAAGGTTTAAGTACCAGCTTACCCAACTGAAACTTGTATCTTTACTCTCTGTGTACCAGATGATGATAACCATGACACTACCCCAAGGCTTCAAGCCGCTGCTCACCGCCTATCTCTATACTGCAAGATCACAGTCGGCTCTGTATCTATAAACAAGTCACAGCAGAAACCCATGGCTGTAGCCCACCCTGAGGTAAGACCCGGGCATGCCCAACGCCACAGCTCCCTGGTATTCACCAGTCGTGAAGAAGGGTACACAGGACAGGAGTTGTGCCATGCTACAGCTAGTCCTGATCAGGATATCTGGGGAATCAGGTCTGCACCAGCCCCTCAAGTCAAGCACTGCCAATTTTGTGCATAATCCCCTGACTTTCAGAGACACAAATTATGTCTTTATTTAAAAACTGAAAAGGCAGAAAAAGCATGTGTTCAAACTGTGTTTATAAACAAGTCTGAGATACAGAGTACTGCCTTAGGGAAGCTTTCATTGAGAACTGATCACAGTTTAGAAAATAGCAGAAGAGAAGATACATAGACATCTGTGCCATTGCTCTTCAGCAGATACAATTAATTAAATCAGCATGTGGAGCCCTTTGGGTTGAAAAAGCGATATTTTGTCAGAGGGTTACAGCAGTAACATGGGTACTACCTTAATTCTGGATGCTCAGGTACCCTGCGGATTCCTCTATATGGGATACCTAGTGAGAACCTGCTAACAACTCTGGTCCGGCAAAGTGACTGACAAGTCTCATGCTGCCTTCGTACTGATAGTACCTTCACTGCACAAGGCTATGACATCACAGCTAATCCACAGCTAAATTCCACAGCAAATTCTTTCACCTTACTTCAAAATCAAAGCTGTTTGTAAGTTTTACAAGTGATAGTGCCCATGGCAAATTAAGAATAAAAAAAACGCCTTTGGCAACGTGAACATTTTCTTCCAGTTGTGAAATGATTGGAAAAAAGAAACTAAAGAAAACAAGAAAGTTTGGTAAGAAAGAAGAAAGATACCTCTGCTCTTCTCCTCAAGGATAAACCAGTTCCCAGCATACTTAGCATTTGGACAGACACAGAACAGTTGGATTCCACTTCAGAGTTGTACAAACACAACAAGGACTGTCGCTAGGCTCTTGCACCCTACGACTCTACACACAAGGAATCAGTGGGGAGAAGGCTACTGGATAATGGCTATGCCAGATTCTCCCCAGCCATGCTCAGAAATCAGTTTCCTTATTTCCTTACCCTCTGTTTCCGTAGGCTTCCTGGGCTGGTGGGAGATGGGCTTGGAGACTTCCCAGAGCGGGGAGTAGAAAGCTGGCTACCAGGGGTTCCATTCACTAAAAGGACAGTAAATAGAAAAAATAAATACAAGGCATTATTAAAAGCAAAGATATAGTTAAATCAGCGTATTTCTTGTTATTCTTTGTTGGCAGATTAATTTGCTTTCGTTTAATGTTTTAAACATTAAATAAGGTAATTCACAAAAGAACTGTTTCCTCAGAGTTTTGGCTCCCGAAGCCAATTTTTATACAGAATGCAAGCGAACAACAAACAAACCTGAAGAGTCTATTTAGTCAATGGCAGAGAACACGATCTTGTTTTCTTAAACTATTGTTCCTGCACTTGAAAGTGATGGGGAGCAGGGCGCTTTGTTAACCTTAACAGACACTTGCTATACGTAAACATTTCCTTTCCATTTAGTTATGGCTCGAAGTGCTACCCACCAAAAATAAAAAGCAGTATTGCTTGCAAGAACAAATCAGCTGCTGCTGTTCTTCACTCATTCCTTTGAAGAGATTTTTGCAACACTATCTGACCCAAACATCACCTCAGACTTAACCCAGAAAGGCTTTCTAGAGGCAAATAAATTGGACGTAACACCTCAAGTCTGACTTAGAGCGAAGCAACACTTTCTCAAATAAATAAGCTCCTTCATGTATGTCAGTGCCTATCATTGTAGGAGCATTTTTTGCATGCATGTGACAGTATCCATTAGATTAACAAAGCAATACCACCAGAGGACAGAATTCTACTACAAAGTAATTACACGAGAGGCTATCAAAATGTTCACGCTGAAGCACTACAAAGCGTGTATCACATACATATATGTAAATATTCTTTAACGAGCAACTGTTAATTCACAGTCCACGTTTGTCAGCACCAGGCAAAAAAGAAGCGACAATCAGATTCCCAGATTCTGAATCTTAAGAGAATATTTACACAGTAGGATATCAACAAGGCATTTGACTTACCTTCTATGAGTTCTAACATGGACAGAATCTTACTGTTTAAAGCCTATAATAGCAAGCGGCAGAATTCCTGCTCTGTGCTAAGCCAAGCTGTAGCCAAACTGAGAAGCAATGGGATTAGTTAAGGATAGCTGGGGCTGCTCACAGAGTGAGCTGAATGTGATGCAGGATTCATAAGCAGAAGCCTTTTCTGCGTAAGGCTGACGTCTTCAGAGCAGCAGTGGGAGGTGCAGGTGCTGTCTTAGGGCTACATCAAAGGTGTCAATTAAGCATAATGCTGCTGCTTCACAACGCTGAGCCACCGCAACCCCCACTTGCTTTCCATGGAGCCCCGAAAGCCTAAGCAATTTTATATGCTGTGCACTGAATCATAATGAGGTGCCTTTGGGGGCAATATACCAAATGAGTCATCCGAAAATCAAAATGACAATAACTCTTGTAAAACCTTGGCTGACTGGCAATCCAGCAAATGCTAATTCCTTTGGATAATACAGTAGGCATTTTTAATAGATTTTTCTTACTTTTTACATAATACATTGTTCTCACTGGCTAATACTGGGCCCGCATATTACAAGGAAGAAACATATATACCCACCCCACCACTTATATCAATAAAACACATTATTCTGCGAGATAAATAATGATCACTTCATAGTGCTTAGGTGCTGTGAGTGATCAGATCTCAACATCACTTTGTGTACGGCATTGTTTAAGGTAATAGTGCAACATGTTTGTATAACCATAACACTAATTGCATTTAAACAGACTGCTCTTCTAAAAAAAAGAAAAAAAAACAAACCAAACCAAACCATTCCACTCATCTAGGCTTCAAATTCTCTTTGTAGAGAGGACAACGATTTGCCCATATCAGCACTGATTCAACTATGTACTAAGTGTGTTTGGCACAGCACATGCTTATAGACACATTCACTGAAGTTCATTTGGTATTCAGCAGAAACTCTCCATAGGTCTGGCCAATAATGACTAAAATCAAATTTATTATCAATCCTTCTGAAAACATTTAGAAAAAGGGCAACATGAGGACATGAAAAATGAGATTTTTGGAATGTCAAACTCCTAAAGTTTTAAAGGGCTTCTTATACACAAATATGATGTTATTTAGAAACTAATACTAAACTACGGCTACTCACATGGAGCTAGTCTTCAAGACTGCTCAGTGACAAGTCTAGTGCTCTGCCTTCTCTCGAAACCAAGAAGATATTCTTAGGTCTTAATATTATGACAATATTTAAGATAACAGATACACTTTATAAACCTTGTAGCACTAGGCACCAAATCCTGTTCATTATAGATTGACTCCTTCCCCATAACTTTCAACAATAATTTTTCTTAGAATTACTGTTGCAATTATTCTGTCCTGAAGACAAAGACTTGATGCTACCCAGTGGAACCAAACAGATGCAATGGTGTATTTGACTCTTGATGTATTTCCCACATGTACCATGTTGATGAGTTTCTATTTGAGATGAAACAACGAAGTAGTATAAACCCTAAAACTTACTCACTTGCCACCACCAGAGTATCCACAGCATTTTAGATAAGCTCCAATGCTCTTTCCAACAGTACTTTTTAAAAAGGAAAATTACCCTATTTGTGCTTGTGTTGGCTGTCTGTAATATGTGAAATCAAGAGCACAATTAAAGGATCAAGACCCTCAGGAGATTTAAGTGGAGTTTGCTCACCTCCTTACCCACAGACAAAACACAAAGGCGCTAAGTACCTGAAACAGTTATCAGGATTTTTGTAATCATAAAAAGACTCCCATGAAGAGCTATTTAGGAAAGTCTAAAGATGACAGTTAGCACTGGGGATGAGATTCCTTTTACCAGTCTTTAGGTACCTACTGTGTAGGCTTCTACACCTGAAGTAGTTTTCTAGGCTTTATTTTAACCATGTTGCTGTTGTATCATTCCCAAGCAAACATCTAAACCAGAGCTGATGAACAATGTAATAGGAGCATCCACGGCAGACTTATAAAGTTAGGAAAGATGAATCCAAACCCACACAACTAGAGGTTTAGGATATGCTGGAGATGAGGCAGAAACATCAAAATTCTCCTTACTTGCCAATTTTGGTGGATTTTATTACAAGTGCATAACTCCATTAATAAAATCTGATGACTGAAGACTATACAGAGTCTAAATGAGAGTCAACCTGAACAGGGGCTTGGGTGACATGAGTTTTATTCCCAGCACTCCTTACACATCTACACAACATCAGACAAGTCATGACAATTTTACCACTTGTCTACTTGGGCTTTAAGTTCTGGCAGAATGAACTGTCTGTGAACAACATGTCAGTCTTCTGGATGCTCCGCACACCTGGAGATACACATTACTATTTCTACTGATATTATTAATGCAGTGCGTAAGACAGACATCACAACAGGGAAGAAATGGTAATTCCTAATAATTCCCCAGTCCACTTCAGGGGCCCTCCCTTTTTATCATCTGATTTATGGCTTGCTGGTCATGCCACCTCTAAGTCTGGTTCCTTGTAAGTCATTAGGCTGAATTTGCGAACACAGTTGACATGAGGTGCTCTGTAGCAGGAAGAGACTGGACTGATCCTGACCCCCTTCCTGACTTCCACTTAAAAAACCAACACCGTTCTTACATATGCAGCTCATGACCAGATAACATGGCAACAAATAAGTGAATAAAATCTATAATATTTAATAAGCAAGCATTCCTGATAAGTTCAGTAATATAGTTTAACCTGCTCTAAAATCCATTTCTAGGTGGAATGCATTCTGGTTGGAAATTGCATTTCTTTCCAGTATCTGCACTTCATTTCTCACTGACTGATAAAGCACATGTTCCTACAGGGAACCCTGGTGTAGATAACGACATATGAAATTGGTAAATCACTGTTGTAATTAATCATGTTATTGAGTGAAGCAAGAGGTTTCTTGTCACATTTTATGCATAAAATGGCAGGGGTCAGACTTCAGCTTAACGCAGTGATTCCCATCGTCTCATGAAAAAGATTTATCATTCAAAATTTCACAGATGAAATATGTAATAAAAAACTAAAAAAAAATCACAAAATTATTGCCCCTGCTCTGAGAAGATGTATGCATCTGCTTAGTTGTGAGTTCCTTTTCTTACTGTCCTCTCTTGCTGAGGATGCATAGCAGGACAAGAAACTGTCTTTGCATTTGTTTTTTCCAGGACCTGTGGAAACACACCTGTGGCACACACATGAAGGTAGAAAACTCCACAAATAGAATGCTAAAGCTGGATATCATCATCTATTGCGATAAATGAAAAATAGGTTTTCATAAGATGTTTGTAAACTAGTAAAAATGCTGTAAATAAAAAGTATTTTGATAGCATTCCAATAAATATTGGAAGGGATTGGAGGGGATTCTGCCCCTGTACTCTGTTCTTCTGAGACCCCACCTGGAGTGCTGCGTCCAGCTGTGGAGCCCTCAACATCAGAAGGATATAGACTGGTTGGAGTGAGTCCAGAGGAGGCCACGAAGATGCTCAGAGGGCTGGAGCACCTCTCCTATGATTAAAGGCTGCAAGAATTGGGCTTGTTCAGCCTGGAGAAGAGAAGGCTCCAGGGAGACCTCACTGCCGCCTTCCAGTACCTGAAGGCGCTACAAGAAAGCTGGGGGGGACTTTTTGCAAGGGCCTGTAGTGACAGGACAAGGGGTAACGGGCTTAAATTGAAAGTGGGGAGGTTTAGATTAGATATCGGGAAGAAATTCTTCCTGGAGAGGGTGGTGAGGCACTGGCACAGGTTGCCCAGAGAAGCTGTGGATGCCCCATCCCTGGAAGTGTTCAAGGCCAGGCTGGATGAGGCTTGGAGCAACCTGGTCTAGTGGAAAGTGTCCCTGCCCATGGCAGGGGGGTTGGAACTAGATGGTCTTTAAGGTCCCTTCCAACCCAAACCATTCTATGATTGTATCATTCTATGATTCTATATGTTTTGATCAGGCATATTCTTATTAAGAAATAAGAAGTGAGAAAAGCTGAATTGAAGTAATAAGTGATAGTATGAGATGCTGCCAATGCCACTGCACTGTATTAAAAATAGGGTCTTCTATAAAACTGCCTGTTGATGTTAGCATCTTGTACTCTATCAAAAATGTTGAGATGACTCTGTGTTTACAAAAGTGATTTGCCAAACACAGAAGTTGTGTCAAGAGGAAAGAGAAGACTAAGGGAAAGGAACAGTGCAGGTTTTTTCACAGTCACAACTTATTCATGAGTAGGATAGGCAGAACAACGGCATCCTGGCCTGCATCAGGAACAGTGTAGCCAGCAGGACCAGGGCAGTGATTGTCCCCCTGTACTGCGCGCTGGTGAGGCCGCACCTTGAATCCTGTGTTCAGTTCTGGGCCCCTCATTGCAAGAAAAACACTGAGGTCTGGAACGTGTCGAGAGAAGGGAACAGAGCTGGGGAAGGGTCTGGAGCACAAGTCCTGTGAGGAGCGGCTGAGGGAGCTGGGGGTGTTTAGCCTGGAGAAGAGGAGGCTCAGGGCAGACCTTATCGCTCTCTACAGCTACCTGAAAGGAGGTTGTAGCAAGGTGGGTGTTGGTCTCTCCTCCCAAGTGACAAGCGATAGACAGGACAAGAGGAAATGGCCTCAAGTTGCACCATAGAAAGTTGGACATCAGAGAAGTTATCAGACATTGGAACATGTTGCCCAGGGAGGTGGATGAGTCACCGTCCCGCCCCTGGAGGTATTTAAGAGATGATGAGCTGCTTAGGGACATGGTTTAGTGGTGGTATTAGCAGTGTTAGGTTAACAGTTGCACTTTATGATCTTACAGGTATTTTCCAATCTAAAAGGTTCTATGATTCTAAAAAATGATTTACAGAAGACATAACAAGATGTGTAGGTCATATTCAGCAACTGTTAGCTGGAAAATCGTGATGTGAGATCACTACTTGACCTTGTCTCAATTACTCCTGTAGTTTGTCAGCATCCTTTCCTAAATAACATTTTTGTCTCAAGAAGATTATGTGGTTACAAAGTAGTTAGGGAACAAACCATACCTTGCCTTTTTGTTCCTTCTGCTTCCATATTCTACCTGTGTACATCTCATCCTCTTTGTCTTCATTGCAAAGGAGAGAGTTTCTCCAGAGCACCACATAGAATCATAGAAT